AATGCAGTATCCACATTTTAAAGATACATAGAGATGATCATTCAACTTGTTGACGATGTACTTACATAGATTAACAATATTCTTATTTTCAGCGATGAGTTTAATCACATATTGAAACTGTTATAAAAATGCTATATAATAATAATCTGAAAATTTCACTAACAAAGTCAATATTTTATGTGACTTCAGTCAATTTTTCGGGATATAATATTAGCTCTGAAGGTAATAAACCTACACAAAATAAAGTTAGTGAATTACAGAATTCCCCCCCCCAAAGGAAAGTAAAAAACTTCGTCGTTTCTTAGGCATCGTAAATGTTTATACAAAATTAATCACAATCTTTGTGGACATAGGTCATTAACAGGAAAAAAATAGGTATATGCAGTAATACTACATATATATTAAATGACTAGGAAATGAAATCATTTAACGATATTAAAAACAAAATCAGAGAATTTCTGTCTTTAGTGTCTGACTGTACTGAATATCAGTTGATTACTAATTGCAGTAATTGTGCAATTGATGCAGACCTACATCAAATAGTAACTTGAGAACCAATTCCTATAGTCTTCTTCACTAAAAAGTTAACTGAAACCCAAACAAGGTATACTACATTCGATTTGCAACTTATTCACTTATATTTTAAATAATATATTTTAAACTGTAATATTATCGAAGGAGAACAAGTTTCATTATAAACTGAAATAAGCCTTTCTGCATCCGTAGTCGAAACTCTGCTAAGTCAGATTGACAGTGGCGGGAATAGGCATTTCTCACAGTGTATTTCTCAGATGTAGGCTACATAAAGGGAGATCAAAACGTTGTAGCTGATTGCTTTTCTAGACCTACCTTATCAGTTATGAGAGATCAGTGTGTCTTGCCAGCTATAGCTGTTGCACAACCTAAGGCGCTTGAGTTACAAACATTTAAAGACATAAAAAATAAAATTTAGCTACCGATAATAATAGTTCCATATACTGTGATAAGCCTATCCTATTCCAGACTATATATCTCTGGTGAATTACGAAATTCTATTTTCGAAAGTATTCACGCAATATTTCACCAAGAATTAAAACCTCTTGTACACTCATCCAAAACATGATTTTGGGGGCATTAATTGGCAAGACAAAAAAAAAAAACAAAGAAAAGAGAAGAGTAATGAATGTCAAAGTTGTCATGAAAGCTGAATTCAGAGAGATGATCAATCTGAAAATCACCCTATTTTGTTGATCCCTATCCACTTTGATACGGTTCGCTTGCATATAATTGACCAACTCCCTGTTACTAGATGTTATGACACATACAATACTCCTTATAAACACGTGTTAACCTGTATTGACCGCACAATTAAGTGAATCGAAACATAACTATTACCAGATATAACAGCAAGATCTGTGACCAATGCATTCACGCATGCGTTGATTACGCACTGGGGTATTCCACTTCACGTCATAACCGATCGAGGTATTTAGGTTGAGAGCAAATATATTTCAGACATAGCCTCACTAGGTGACTTCTATTTATCGTCTGCAACGAATGGAATGATCGAATTTACAGCCAGCAGAAGAAGGATATAGCTCTGTAAATAAATAAAGTCAATACGATCATGGCAAGCTTAACACATGTAAAATGAATGGTCAAAAGTAGACATATTTTGAAAGCCTCTGAAAGCATCTTACATTGGTTCCTTTATACGGGTTCAAATGGGCTATTTTTTGGCCGAGCCTAATGGCTCGGGAATGCCCACATTAAAAAGGCCTTGTGCCACATGACACCCTCGTGGGGGCGTGACTGAATATCATCTTACATTGGTTCCTTCCAAGTGTTATGCAGAACTGAAACATATTTTATAACTAAAATAAACGATGAGATACAGTCAACGGTATCAATAGATAAATTAAAAGCACAAGTTGAACATAAAAGGATCAGCAAGTAATAACGGAGCAGCGACATCATAGTACTGATAAAATAAATGATACAGAAAACATAGAAACAAAAAGTCTAGTTATGCGAAAGCAGGTAGTAAAGATTCCTGGAAAAGAGACAATCAATATGTCTAACATTGGACTCCGCTACGAGGTGGGGAGGTTTGCAGCGAGAGACGAAAAAAGTTATCTTCCCTTGACCAAAACAAAAATATTTATTATAAATAGACACGAGCATAGAAACAGTCACGTGATCTGACGAGACACGCACGAAACAATTAGTGTGGTAAAGTCAATCGTTCTCTTTTTGCTCATTGAAGTTACAGAAACAGAACGTACAATTTCACGTTCTTAAAAACCAGACAGATAAGTACTAAATTTATATTGTTTTTGGAACCCAATCTTTAGCAAGTACAGGAATCAAAACCTTGTATTAAATATTACAACTATATATATATATATATATATATATATATATATATATATATAAAATTTGTACTCGCAAATACTGCTCTCGCTTTAAGAAGAGTTTGGCTGAGAACGGCGAGGAAATGTGTATACAACACAAATCGAGGGAATCCTACTCTACATGGATGATCTCAAAATCTTTGTCAAAGATGGCAATACTGTAAAAGTTTCAGTGGCGACATAGATATGGATTTCGGATTAGATAAATGTGCAAAAATAACATTCAAGAAAGACAAACGATAGATCTAGATAGATCAATAAATCTAGAAACATGCTCAATAGAACTAGATACAAAGATTAGGGAGGTGGGACAAGAAGAAACATATCGGTACCTTAGTGAAGGAGATGGAATACATCATACCAAAATGAAAGAGAAAGTAAGAAAAGAATAGTACAGATGTAAGCGGCTGGCATTGAATGCCGAGCTGAATTCAAGAAACAGAATATCAGCCATAAGCACATTGGCTATCCCCATAGTGGAATACACGATCTTTAACTGGACAATAGCTGACTTTAAGTGAATAGACGTGAAAACGAGAATGTTTCTCATTTGCCACCATGTGCATCATCCCAAGGCTGAAGTTGATCGTTTATATGTGCCTATATCAGAAGGAGGCAGAGGATAAAATTCAACTAGAACTGTCTTACAAATCAGATTTCAAAGATACTTGGGAACCACAGAAGACTGGATGATAAGTGTAAAAGAACATGATAAAGGTAAGAAACTTTGTCCAGTAATAAAAGAAGCCAAGTTCAGAATAGAGTTTCAAATGGGTGAAGAAATGCAAATAAAACATACTGAAGCTGCAAAAACCTTAACAAATGAAGCAAAGGCGAATGCAGTCGACCAGATACAGAAACGATGACGGGATAAACCTCTTTACAGTCAATATTCTGCCAGTATCAAACAAGATGATGTAGACAAACCTCAAATCCATCCTTGCAGGGTTAAAAGCTGAAACCGAAGGTGTTATTCTTGCTGCAGAGGACCAGTGCTTGCTAACTAGAAATTACCACGCTTAGATATTGAAAACTGTGATAGCCCAAAATGCAGATTCTGTGATAAATATCCAGAAACAATTGACCATCTTGTATTGGGTTGTACAGTATTGGCACCCACTGAAAAAAAAACCTGGCATGACAGAATGGACCAATATCTAATTTGGAAAATCTGCAACCTTTACGGAAAGGAAATTGCAAGAAATTGGTATGAACAACACCCAGACCCAGTTACTGAGATAGATCCTGAAAAAATCTTATGGGACTTTACAATAGACACAGACGGAACAATCAAAGTTAATCGCCCAGACATTGTGATCAGAGACCGCATATCAAAATGTGTCCTCTTATTGACATGTCAGTCGCTGCAGACTCTAATGTATATTTGAAGACCTTCAAAAGACATCAAAAGGACCTTGAAATCTTCAAAATGTAGTACAGGAGGACATCAAAAATTCTAGTTGTAGTTAGAGCGATCGGTTTGATTGGAAAAGTTCCCAAAAGACTCAGTGAAGGGTTTTTTCTTAGGCCATTCCATTAAATAAATATAAAAAAAATGTACTCACAAGTACAACCCACATCTTAAGAAGGGCTTTATCTATGTAAAGTATGTGTGATCTTAGGTCTTTTTTTTCTCGAAAAATACTCAATGGAAAATCTCCTGATGTCGTTTCTGACCTTAGGTCTCTGGTTGGGACTCGGAAAGAAATGAGCATACATCAGAAATCAAAGAAAATAAAATAATAATAATAATAACAATATACACGAGATTCTGTTTTGCTCCATACGTGTATACAGTTCTGTTTCTCAATCAGCTTTAGTGGAATCTTCTTTCATTTGGGACATGATAATTTTTGTTGCTTTTGGTACATTGAACGAAACGTGACTTTCAAACATGACCGCTGAGTGGACGTGGTGATTAAATTCTTGCAATTATCCATGGGTCGCCGCTGCCGAGATGAATTGACGAGTTAGCAGAAGGAGGCTTATAACTTTCGGCTTGACCCGATGGTCGCAACCGGAAGCCAAGCTGCGCATGTGCGATGAGTCGCCTTATTCGTTAGGTTGCGCTCAGGCAATTACCGTCGTCTTTTCCTTGTGTTCACTTCAGATTGAAGATGCCGAGGGCTTTAAATTGTTCCCAGCCACCTTTGTGGCGATTGTGTTGCGTCATTGAGTTGATTGGTTTTGATGAAGCGTTAGAGGTTGTTTAGGAATTTCTGAGAGGAGTTTGATTAATTGAAAGGCAGTCATGATTGAACATCGACTTTCACATGTACTGGATAACAGTCAAAGGCAGAAAGAAAGAAGGAATAAATGAAAGAAAGAAAGTAAGAAAGGAATCAAGCAGGAAAGTAAGAAAGAAAGAAGAAATGTGAAATAGAAATAAGGAAGGTTATAAAGAAAGGACGAAAATAAGAAAAAAGTATGAAAATAAGAAAGAAGGAAAAAAGAAAGAAGAAGAAATGGATAAAAGAAAGAAAGAAAGAAAGAACGACGGAAGGAAGGAAGGAAAGAAAGAAAGTAAAAAAGAAGGTATGAAAGTAAGTACAAAAGATAAAAACATAGAAAGAAGGGATGTTAGAAAGAAAGAAAAACACAAAGAAATCAAGAAGGGATGTAATAAAGAAAGAAAGTAAGAAAGAAAAATGAAAAAGAACGAAGGAAAGAATAAAAAAGAAAGAAAGAAAGAACGAATGAAAAAGAAAGAAAGAAAAAGAAGAAAGAAAGATAGAAAGAAAGAAATAAAGAAAGAAAGAAAGAAAGAAAGAAAGGAAAAAGAAGGAAGGTAAAAAAAGAAAGAAAGAAGGACGGAAGGAAGGAAAGAAAGGAAGGAAAAAGGAAGGAAAGAAAGAAAGGAAGGAAAAAGGAAGGAAAGAAAGAAAGAAGGGATGTAACAAAGAAAGAAAGTAAGAAAAGAAAAAATGAAAAGAAAGAAAAAAAAGAAGAAAAAAGAAAGAAAGAATGAATGAAAATGAAAGAAAGAAAAAGAAGAAAGAAAGAATGAAAAAAAAGAAGGAAGGTAAAAAAGAAAGAAAGAAAGAAAGAAGGACGGAAGGATGGAAAGAAAGAAAGGAAATAAAAAAGAGGGAATGAAAGTAAGAAAGAAAGAAGGAAACAAAGAAGGCATGTAAGAAAGAGAGAAAGTAAGAAAGAAAGAAAGAAAGAAAGAAGGGATGTAACGAAGAAAAAAGAAAATAGAAATAAAAAGAAGAAAGAAATCAAGGAGGGAAGTACGAAAGCAGGAACTGAAGTAAGACAGAAAGAAAGAAAGGAAAGAAAGAAAGAAAGAAAGAAAGAAAGAAAGAAAAAAGAAAGAAAGAAAAGAAAGTGTTTGCACATGATTAATATAAAGGAGAATCCAAAAGCCAAAGGTTCGTTATTTAATGACAGACTGATTAATACATGGGTAGATAACAGATGTTTTAGATGGACAGATGGGCGATCATGGTGTTCCACAGCTCCGTATTCTTATGAGCTCTGAGGAATAACTATCTTTTTGCTTTCCCTTCAGTTTACACAAACACGTGTAGTAGGATACTTGTGGTTACCTTCTGCCTCGTCTGCCTTCAACATTTCTTTATAGTGTCAGTTTCACGAAGCTTACTTTCTTCCTAATGTATCAGAAAATCAGTAAAATAAAAATTGGAAAAAGAACGAAAGACTGAAGAAAATACAAAAAAAGAAAAGCGAATAAATAAGAAAGAAAGAAAAAGAAATAGAAGAAAGAAAGAAGGAACGAAGGAAAGAAAGAAAGAAAAAAGATAGAAGGAATGATGGAAAGAAAGAAAAAAGAAAGATGGAGGGAACAAAAAATAGAAAGAATGAAGAAGAAAGAGTAAGATAAAGAAAGAAAAATGGAAATAACAAAGAATAGAAAGAAAAAAAAGAAAGAAAGAAGAAAGGACGAAGACGAAAGAAAAGGGGGAAAGCCAGTAAGAAAGAAAGAAAGAAAGAAAGAAAGAAAGAAAGAAAGGAAGGAAGGAAAGAAAGAAAGAAAAAGGAAAGAAGAATATGAAGAGATAGAAGGAAAGAAAAAAGAAACATTAAGAGATGGCTTAAAAAAAAAAAAAGATTAATTCAGAAAGAAAGAAAGGGAAATATGGAACAAAAAAAAGAAGAGAAAATAATCAGATGGGAAAAGAAAAGGGAATCGTGTAAACTGGAGTAGAATCAAATATCATCGATTAATGTCCTTGAATTTGGCAAGGTTTCGCGGTGTAAACAGTTTTCCTGCTGTGATAAGTGCCCTAAAAACCGACGAAGTGATTCAGCAATTTGCTGTGCTGTGGGCAGCGTCTCAGGGAACATGATGACCTGAAGTATTTCATACAAAGATTTCAAAAGTTGATGATGGCCGGAGAATTGATCTTAATTTTCTCTTTCCTGTGGAACTTGTTTTACACGAAGTCAAATGCACAATCCGAATTAGTTTTAAATAATACAGAATAGATTTTTAGATGAAGAACAGGTGACTCTGACAGCTTACTTAAATAGCTTTGTAGAAGGTGTTTAAAATCCCTGACAAAAATTTGTGACTTCAATGGACAAATTAATGGCAGATATAAAATGGTTTACTGTGATGAAACAAATGAAAATATGCAATTTAAAATATAAATTATTGTGGTGGTGCATAATTATCAGGCTTTTTTACAAATATTTATTATTAAAAAACATAATAATTAGACAACAATATGTTTAAATGTGTGTGATTATCGATACGCATTTTTCTACCCTGAAAATAAAATAATATATTTATTTTTTGATTAATTGATTGATTAATTGATTGATTTGTTGGTTACGGCTTTTTAATTTATCAATATCCAAAGCTGAAATATGTTTTTTGGTTTATTTTTTATTTTTTTAATTTTTTTTTTAGATTTTGGCGAGTTAATATTGAATTAGTAAGTGTTTAAAATGTTGAAACTTGACTAATGCATGGAATAATAATGCAACATAGGACAAAATGTATTGAAACAAGAAAGTGTACACAATATTTACATATAGTCTTTTGTATATTCCTGGTAAGACCGTTCCTGGAGAATGTGTTGACTGAGTCGCAGTCGGGAAGAGTCTCTGGTTGAATCTCTTGATTCCTGTATTTATCTATCCACCCACGAGGATAAAATGTGGCACAAGGCCGGTTTAAAGCCCGTAGACTCAGCCAAAAATATGGCCTTTCTGAACCCGCCTAGACGGGTTCAAGGCCTGTCTACCACCCCGGACGAAACCCTGCATCTCGGCAAAGCCTCGTCCGGGTCCCTCACTGCAAAATGCAGAGAGTTCGACTGAGAGTGAATCTCTTGATTCTTTCCTCTCTTCCCGGTACCAACCATATTTATATGGTCGGTACTCCACTATGCAAATTAGGTGGATCCTACCACAACATAAAATAATAACGATTTTCAGATACGTTTTACTATTTAACATTTAGTTGCTGGAGGATAGGTGATTTCGTAGACTTCACAAAGGTATTTGTGCGTAGATGAATGCATAGAATAAGACTGGAATTCGAAATCGGCTCTGCGATTTCTCATACATCCGTTATATATTACAACAGACGCGCACCCAAACTTACACGATCTGGTAACTCCCAAGTGATCACCCAGGTATTTGTACTGGCCAAGCTCGACGTTGCTTAACTTTGGTGATCAAACTAGAACCAGTGTTTCAAAAAAAATTCTATCCTTTAGATGAAAATTCGGTTTTCAACTGGTTACATTTCTAGACACACGACTCCATTGAAGCGGTAAAATACATCGATACCAATAGTTATTTCTTTTTTGTATTTTAATCATTTCACTCTAAGCAAGGCGATAATGCCACTAAGACTCAAGGATGACTCGGAGTGGAAGAGAATGAGAAGTCTTTAGTAAGGACAAAGGACAGTAAAAGAAAAGGTTTTAGAAAAACAGAAAATGGCGATTATTGTTATATTTGAATGTTTGAAAATCGTAGTTAGCAGGGAAGCGAGAAACGCAAAGAAATTTACATGTATAGAGAACTTACAGCCACATCTTGCTAAACAGTAATGATATTGAGACCTAACTGCCAACCTAGCACCACGCTCAAATCATGGTATCATGATGCCAGCGAGGAAAACTCATTCGAAAGATTGCCATGGGAATCTTTATAGATAAGACAGTGGAGAGTCACGTTTCGGTGGACGGAGAGTGACAGAAGTTGAGATTCCTGTTCAAGACCGATATCATCACAGATCCTTTTTTTGATTTTGTCTAAAATTTCGAGATATATATATATATTTGGAGCACTAAACCATATATGGCAGTAATATCCGTTGTACTGACGAATGGTAGAGTTATAAATTTGTAAATTGTAATTCTGATGTTAAAAATTGTCTAGCATTACAAAATCGGTCAAATTACCTAGCAGCGAATCTAACAATTGATTCAATATATTCACACTACTTCATGCCAATGAATTGCTCTACTGGAAATTAGCTTCAGCCATACTGATGGAAAGAAAATATGTTCTCTATAGAGATTAAAATATAGCAGTTTTGTCTTAGAGGCGTTACAATTTACAATTAATTGCTTCCCCTGTTAACAATTGATTGGAGGACATTTTCGAGAGCAATGCCCAATTTAACTTTTTTGGACCTCCCTGAGTTATTATTAAAGCTTGAGGAAATAGACTTCAGCATAAATAATTGGAAACAGTATTACTATATCGAATATTTTGCCTTGGAATTAGGGCATTAATTGCACCTCTTACCAGCTGTTCGGTTATACAGACATCATTATCAGATAAATAACATTTGGTTAAGTGGACCAAAATGATTGTCCAGTATTGCTAAAAACAGCATTTTTCTGAAGCCGGCCTCTTGTAAAACCGTATATATTTCAGGATATAAAGCAATCTCTACATATTTAATGAAAGTGTACCTAATCAGATATTAGGATTCCTTGAAATGTTACTTTTAGGTATATACTTGTTTAAAATAGACGCCCCTTTTATTTTTTCAGAGAATGTATTACGTCTATCGTCTTGTGCACTTGAGAAGATGTAATAAAGAAAATTTCTGGCAGAGTTCAAACTTGCGTCTCCTTTGTAGGAGAGAGAGAGCCCATTTGATCGTGTGTGCTTTAGACTGCTCGGCCACAGAGAGCCTTGCAGCATGGAAAGGCTCTATTTACTCCTTTTTTTTAAAGAGATGCACACTTCCTTAATCAGTTATTCTCGAAACACTGTATCTGTTTAATTTGGCATCCGAAACGTAAAAAAAAAATGATGTTTCTATAAAATTATTCCATTTATTTCTAATCCTATATATTTTTTTTATTATTTCAAATGTTATTGAGTGGATACCCGTGTTTAAAAAAGACGCCATATTTTTATAGGAGAAACCACTGTTTGATGTGGTTTGCTTTAGTCCGCTCGGCCACAGAGAGGCGTAACTAAATGTGCATTCATTTTTTAAAAAAATGGTGAGAGGGTACATTGAACCTTGCTGGGATTTGACGCTCTCTGTGGCCGAGCGGATTAAAGTACGCCAGAAAAAAAGGTTGTTTCTCGTATAAAGCATGACGCCTGCTCGAACGCTTGACGTAATAAACATTTCAGGATAGATTAAACATAGAAAACGCTTGTTAGCAAGTCTGCTCCTCAATGACTTCCAGAGAACATTACTTTGTTTAAAGTGAGAAAACGGTCAGTTGATGAGGGATACATTGACAAAATTTAGGTCCGTTGTAGAGGTCATAAAGGTCATATATGATCGATGCAGCTTGATTAAACTGTCTTACCTTGATTCAATATTGACTATATTTATTGTTAATAAAAATTTTGCTTTTGAAATTTGCGTATTAATACTGGATGTGTTGCTTTGAAAAAGAAAATATCTTGTCAGTAGACTGGAGTGAAGACCGGTGTGACTGAAAAGATAGAGTTATTATATATATATATATATATATATATATATATATATATATATATATATATATATATATATATATCATAATCGAGGGAGAAAAAATAATTCATAGGATTTGAAACAAAATTTGATCTTCAAGAGATGAAGATTGTGGTGTATATATACACGGCCGCCAAATTTTCAAATAATATCCTGCAAATAAAAAAAATGCCCTTCCCAAGTGGAAAATGCTGTTTTCATCCACATTTCTTTCCATTAACATACTGCTGTAATCAGAAAAGCTTAATAAATTACAATACTCCATCTTAATCATCTAAATCGGAACGCAAATGAACTAGTCGGCATCCGGTGTTTTAGTTAAAAGTAATCCTGTATTTTGTTTTCCTCGGTCTTATTTTATTTTATTTTATTTATTTTCTACCATTTTTTTTTAAATATTACCAGATGC